TTCTTTCTTTCTTTCTTTCTTTCTTTCTTTCTTTCTCTTTCTTTCTTTCTTTCTTTCTTTCTTTCTTTCTTTCTTTCTTTCTTTCTTCTTTCTTTCTTCCTCATATTAGTTTATCTGATAGTCATTGTTTCAAGTAAAAATGGCGTTCCATTTAAAGTGGCTGCTTCAGCTCACAACTATTCATAAGTCGTAAGACTGCATTGTGCTTTACGTGTACTTCCCATTCGGTCACACACATTGATGAATACATTTTAATTAATGTTTTCAAGTGTGAACTCAACGTATTCAAGAGGTGAGGTTTCGTAAAACTAATTTTTACCGCTCTGTCGAGAACCTTGTTAAGTGGAAGTCACCTTTGGTTTTCAATACTGTGCATGCATGGCTGTGATGCACACCACAGCTGCCCCAGCAACAGCGTGTTCCTGTGATTAGTGCCAACACTTTCACCCACCAGTGCAAGTATGAACACAGCCTAAAGGCAAATAATATCTTTGTGATGCTGTGAAAGTAACTTTGACCCTTTCCCACCTATAAGAGTTTGAGGAATGTCCGCCAAGGGTCTGTGGACCATGCTTTGAGAACCACTGGCTCCCTAAGGGCAGAGATTGACTTTAATTTTTGTTTTTCACGATGCTTATGCTAGCTAAGTTGAAACTCACGTACCCAGCTGCAACATGCATGTGTCTCTGCAAACTTGCATTGGTTTTTCAGACGCTGGGTGTGCGCCAGTTAACTTTTGCCCACAGAGCTCGAGCTCTTCAGTGTCTCCTATATTTGGCCGACAAGGAAACTATAGAATCTCTCTTCAAAAAACCCATGCAAGAAGTGAAGTAAGTAGAAATTTTTAAATTGTATTAATAGGAAACAGATGGGTTCTTTGGAAATGTAACATTTAAACCCCTTAGTTTGTGAGAGTTCATTAGAATGCTATGCCTTGAGTGCCCTTGACCTTTTGGCAAAGGGGATGTAGGCCTCTGAGAACATCTTGTTTCCCTAGTTTTTTGAGGCATTTAGGAACTGAATGTTTTCTTGATCTTGCTCATATTGATTTATTTCTAATATTATATTCAGTGAATATATTTAGAAGCCTAAAAAATAGACATTTAAAAACAAACAGGCTTAATAATTGCCCTCTGGTGGCTTTTATCTTAAATGTAAATGTGGCCTGTAAGAATGATTCCCATAAATGCCTCTGTTTTCCAGATCTTATTTGAAATGTATAACTTTTCTGGCATCGTTTGAGACTTTGAATATCCCCATCACATATGAATTATTTTGCAACAGTCCTAAAGAAGGAATGATTAAGGGTCTATGGAAAAACCACAGCCATGAATCCATGGTATGTACATGGAGTTGTCTGAGGGTGGGGTCCCCATCTTCTCAGATACCCTTGTTTTCACTAAAATGCCTAAAACCAGAGAAATTCTTCATTCTTTAAGAAATTTGCTGCTCTGAGACTGTTTCTACTTTCCTATCCTGACAGGTGACAGGCAACTTGTAGGATCCCCTTACCTCTGCCCCTTAAAGCCTAGGGCCTAATCTCCACCCACAAAGGGACACTTTTGTAATCCCTTCCCAAGGCCTGTGTGTCCTCATCCAGATGGGTAGGGACAGAGAGTGTCCCTATGTCAGGAGGGACGTCACTTCTCTTCTTCCTCATTGCCTGTGGGAATTTAGTCTCCGAGGCAGTTGGAGCCTAGGGCGTGAGGGTTATGAGGCCAACAGGCAAACTGATCTTGGATAGAAAAAGGACAGGGAAGCCCCAAGATGCTCTTTGAATCCATGACAGCAAGCAAGAAAGAGAATAATCTTAATCTTTTTTACTTTCATTAGAGAGATAGGAGGGCTTCACTGAAATTAGGCAATAGACACATCTAGATTATAAACATTTTGTGTGTGGCCACCCTACCTTTTCCAAAGGTGCTTTGATTTCCTGGTATCTTGAAGCAGTATGGGTTTTTGTTGTTTGTTTGTTTTTGAAGCAGTATGATTTTTTTTTTTTAATGTCTCTTCTGCTTTAGGCAGTAAGGTTGGTGACTGAACTTTGTTTGGAGTACAAAATCTATGACCTGCAGCTTTGGAATGGACTCTTGCAGAAGCTTCTTGGCTTCAATATGGTGAGACTCAGTGCCCTAGACTGCAGTGTGTTAAAGCTTTCTCATAGCATCTCTTAAGCATTCTGCACTGATGCTTGTATCGAACAGATGTACGCTGCAAACATGGACTTGTTGGGTTCGTGCCAAACTTAACTTGGTGTTAGGCCAGAGGAAGTGCTAACTCAAAACTGACATAAATTTCGCTGGAAAGAAATGGAAGTTTCCCTGCCCTTTTTTGATGTTTGTGATTTAGGAAGTGAGTTTCTTTGGTTCTCATGGTGGATACATTTTACTGATACCTCTTTTGAAAATTTAAGAATCTGATATTTCACGTTGAAGCTTTCCATTTTAGTGATACTCAGAACTGTATTTTATTGTTTTCACAGATCCCTTACCTAAGGAAAGTTTTAACCGCCATTTCTAGTATCCATTCGTTATGGCAGGTATGTAGTTTCCTAAAATAAATTGTATAGAACTTAATCTTTATACTTGACGGCCTGTGGCTGCTGGGTGCACTGGGTGAAGTCACCGGCTCAAGTGAAGAATGGACCTGATGTCTGGGCTGTGCAGTCACAGTGCAGAGCCTGCTTGGGATATTCTCTCTCTCTCTCTCTCTCTCTCTCTCACTCTCACTCTCACTCTCTCTCATTCTCACTCCCTCCCTCCCTCCCTCCCCTGCTCACATGCTCTCTCTGCATGTGTCTCTCTCTCAAAATAAATAAACTTAAAAAAAAAAATGTTTAAAAGAATGGACCTGGGGCGCCTGGGTGGCTCAATCAGTTAAGCCTCTCACTTGGCTCATGATCTGCACTCTGTGAGTTCGAGCCCCACGTCGGGCTCTGTGCTGACAGCTCAGAGCCTGGAGCCTGCTTCAGATTCTGTGTCTCCTTCTCTCTCTGCCCCTCCGCCTCTCATGCTCTCTCTCTCTCTCTTGCTCTTTCTCCCTCTCTCTCTCAAAAATAAATAAACGTTAAAAAAATTTAAAAAAAGAACAGACCTGATGTCCTGTTAAAATGGTGCCAGGGGGCGCTGTGTGGCTCAGTTACTTAAACATCTGACTCTTGATTTCAGCTCAGGTCATGATCATGTGGTTCGTGAGTTCGAGCCCCTCATCAGGCTCTGCACTGACAGAGCCTGCTTGGGATTCTCTCTCCCTCTCTCTCTCTGCCCCTCTGCTGCCCCCCCCCCCCCAATACATAGACATTTAAAAAATAAAATGGTGCTGGGACCCAGAATATTTAGTTCAGAGGTCACTTGAGGACATCACTTGCCCGTGTTCTCCAGGCCTACTGAGCTGCATCTTCATTTATGCTCTCAAAACACTGGTTCTGCTGTAACACCTGCCATGGTATAATTTGTTTTAAGCATATATTCCTGCCCTTCTTGAACTTAGAAGATCTTTAAATCAGACACAATGACTTACTCATCTTTTCTAAATTTCACAAGTTGTATACCACATAATTGTTATAATATGTAATGTAGAAATATATCATCTATTCGTAGCTTAATAAATTAGAACAACATTGAAACATGCTGAGTAAAACTTGAAAATTCTCCTTTACCATTTCCCTTCAAAATTATCTCCCCAGAAGTAACTACTGTTTATAGTTTCTTATGTTTTCTTCTAGAACTTTCCTAGTAGCATATAAGTGTGGGGGGAGGGATATATACATTTTTGTACATGTACATGCAATCACATGCTAGATAAAGTGTTTTTTCCACATAACATTGGTGTTTTGGAGATAGTTCCATAGAGCTCAGAGACCCACCTTTTTTTTTTTTTTTTTAATTTTTTAAAATTATTATTTATTTTGGGGAGAGCACAAGGTGGGGAGGGGCAGAGAGAAAGGGAGAGAGGATCTGAAGCAGCCTGTGCACTGACAGGCTGAGAGCAGTGAGCCCGATGGGGGATCGAACTCATGAACCGTGAGATCATGACCTGAGCTGAAGTCAGAAGCTCAACCAACTGAGCCACCCAGGTGCCCCCCTACCTTTATTTTCTCAATTGAGATGTAATTCCCTGTAAAACTTACCCTTTTATTTGTTTTTTAATATTTATTTATTTTGAGAGAGAACAAGTGTGTGAGCATAAGCAGGGTAAGGGCAGAGAGAGGGGGAAAGAGAGAATCTCAAGAGTCTCCATGCTGTCAGCACAGAGCCTGATACGGGGCTCGATCCCACGAACTGAGGTCATGACCTGAACAGAAATCAAGAGTCAAATGCTTAATCAACTGAGCCACCCAGGGACCCCTAAAATGTACCCTTTTAAAGTGTACAGCTAAGGGGACCCTGGCTGGCTCAGTCAGAAGACCATGTGACTCTTGATCTCAGGGTTGTGAGTTCGAGCCCCACGTTGGGGGTAGAGATTACTTAAAAAAAAAAAAAACCTTTCCCAAAAAAGTAAATAAAGTGTATAATTAAGTGGTTTTTAGTATATTCACAATGTTATGCAACCATCACCACTATCTAATTCTAGAACATTTTCTTTACCCCGGAAGTATGCCCCATACCCATTAACAGTCACTCACTATTCCTCCCTCTCCTGCCCCTGGAAGTGTCTGTGCTGGACATGTCATATCAACAGAATCCTGCACCACGTGGCCTTCTGTTCTCCTTTTATTCGGTGTCATGTTTTTGGTTCATCTGCATGGGAGTGGGTGTCAGGGCCTCATTCCTTTTTACTGCTGACTCATGTGTACTGTGTGGACACACCTGCATTTTATTTGTCTATTCATCAGTTGAAGGGTATTTGGGTTATTATGAATAATGGTGCCCCGTGAACATTTGTGTACAAGTTTTTATGTGGATGTGTGTTTTTCTCTCGAACATATGCTTAGGAGTGGAATTGTTGGATCTTATGAAACCTGTACATTTAGTCTTTTTGGTATCTCATGACTTTAAACTCTTTTTTTTTTATGTGTTTGTTTATTTTTGAGAGAGAGAGAGAGAGAGAGACAGAGACAGAGACAGAGTGCGAGCAGAGGAGTGGCAGAGAGGGAGGGAGACACAGAATCCAAAGTAGGCTCCAGGCTCTGAGCTGTCAACACAGAGCCTGAGACAGGGCCCATGAACTTCAAGATCATGACCTGAGCCAAGGTTGGACGCTTAACCAACTGAGCCACTTAGGTGCCCCATGACTTTGAACTCTTAATTATTCTCCATAATATGGAGCAAAATATATCCTGAGTCATTTAACCCCTCTCCTATGAGTGGAAACGTATGTTGTTGCCTTATTCCTTTTTGAAATCCTTTCTCTTGTCTGGTTGCCCCTTTCCTGTGACTCTCACACAGTTTGTGGCACACAACAGTGTGAGTTTTGTTTTCTGACACTTTTTTCCCCACACAAAACCATAACAAATCAGCCAAGATTGTGTAATAAGATCCTGAACTATACACTTATGAAGAGAATTATCTAAGGACCCCTGGCTGGCTTAATCAGTAGAGCATGTGACTCTTGATCTCAGAATCATGAGATCAAGTTTGAGCCCCACATTGGGTACAGAGTTTACTTTAAAAAAGAGAGAGAAGGAAAGAATATTATCCTAAAATCTAACCATCTTGAATAAGGAGATACCAATTTACGTTTTTGGTCTTAGGATCCAGAACATATGCTCTAAGTATATAATTCTGTGACCGCAAAACCGAGAGACTGGCGCAAATCCTATAACATGCTTGTTTCCCCAGGTTCCCTACTTCAGCAAAGCTTGGCAGCGTGTGGTTCAGATACCCCTACTTTCAGGTATTTTTCTCTCCCCTGAAACATTGACAGTAGCGTTTTATAGCTGTGTGTGTGTGTGTGTGTGTGTGTGTGCGTGTGTGTACACATTATTGTTTCTTTTCAGCATCTTGTCCTCTGAGCCCCAGTCAGTTATCAGATTGTCGAGAGAGTCTCATCGCTGTTCTAGAGTAAGTAAAATAATTGTTTTCCTACCCCCTCAAAATCATATGTGTTGTTTATGAAATTTCTTTTTAATAAACCTCTTTAAATGAGTAACTCATTTTTCTTGAGAAGTTAAACATACCACTTGTTTTTAAAATAAAATATCTCTCTTATTTTCACAACGTCTGCTTTCCACATGCAGTGCAACTCGTAAACTGATACTCGATAAGCATTTCCTAAAATTAGTTTTAATGTACATCAGGAGTATTTTTATCACTACCTGAAATCATGAAGTGTTGTCTCACAGATTTTGAGTCTTCTGAGAATGTGTCTTTAAGCATGTGTGGGCCCCAGACATGATCATAGCGGCAGTCAGTGCTCTGTGTTCCAGTGGGTGGGATATTTTGTTCCACGAAGAAGACTCAAGTTACTCATTACTAAGTGTATGTGATGCACCGGCACTGTAATGTTTAAAATCATTGAAAGCACAATCAGGTAACAGTTGTGGAAAGCTGGAAGACTCAACATAATATCGTGAATCTGACAAATTACTAATAAATTCATGTGCGCTCTTGAAGATGCCCAGTTTCAGATGATCTCGACATGATTGCGGTTGCCAGGCAGTATGTCCAGTTAGAGCTTCCGGCTTTTGCACTAGCCTGTCTGATGCTCATGCCTCACTCGGAAAAAAGACATCAGCAAATTAAGGTATCTCGCAAATTATTCTTCTGGGCCTGCCAGAGGGACAGAAAATCTCCCACTGCTTGTGCCCCCACAAAAGGGGTGGTGTTTTCTTTTTACCAGACTTGCAAAGGAGGAGTTCATCAGCCTGAGGGGTGTGGGAGGTTTGTATGCAGGTTTAGCAGGAGGTGAGCCTAAAAGATAGATCAAGGTCCATCCAAGGGATGCCTTAAGAGGGGTTTGGACCTTGTTCTTTATCAGTGAGGAACTGTCAGGTTTCCTGGAAAAGTAAAGTAAAATGTTCAGGCACCGTTTTGGAGGGAACAATCCTTGGGCTTGGTGGGGGAGAGAGGAGGCAGGAACGGAAGTGTGGGAAGCTGTTGCACTTGCCTGGACCAGCCTGTGAATGGGCAGGGAAGGTTCGAGGGGATATGTGCTGTAAGTGGGGTGGTGGCAGTGAGAATGAGCCAAATAGAGCAGCTTCACTTAGTGATTGGATGTGGGAGATAAGAGAGGGAATTGTCAGGTTTGTGTGTGGGTGTCTGACAAAGGGACGGACCCATGAACATTCTGAGGACAGAACTTTTAAAACGAACTCATTCCCTTTACAATACAGAACAAATAGAACAAAGCACTTGGGAATGTTTTGCAGTATTTCCCCAAAGTTAGTTTAGCCAGTAGATAAAGATCTATATAAATGAACATGCACATTTTTTATCTGTCATTTGGTCTGTTCACTCCATTTTCTCACAGCCATCTGTGCTTGCCTTGGACTTCGGGGGTTTTTTGACTATTCATAAACTCATCCATTAATGCTTTTCAAAATTTTAGTATTTAAATAGAGTCCTTTCAGCACTTAGAATGACAAAAATGCTTGTTAAACAGCCCTTGTTGTCACAATAGGTATTTGTAAAATGTCTTTTTCCTTATTCCTTTAATTTTTTGTTATATGATAGAGTTGTTTTTTTCCTATAATAGAAATGGTTAAAGATATTCCAAATTTAAAAATGAAAACCTTTTAGATTTGACAGAAATTAGTAGTAATAATACTTTTCCACTGTGTTTGATTTTTTTTTCCTGTAGAATTTTCTGGGCTCGTGCAATCCTCAGATCATTTTACAGCAATTAGAAGAGCATATGAATACTGGCCAATTGGCAGGATTTTCACATCAAGTAAGAGGCAATTTCATCTCCTTTTGCCATGAAAACTTTTATATTAGAAGGTAATAATTTTCCCTAAATCAAAAGTAGGCTGAATACTACTATCTCTGCCTATTTGGTAATATATAAAATTATTTTGCCTTTATTAAAACCTTAATAAATTTTTAAAAGGTAGAGACCTCATCTGTCTTATTTGCTACTGTGCTCAGTGAAAAATCTGTAGCCTTAAATGCTTGTTGTTGTAAGCAGACTTCATGGGTGTTGTAAGCACCCAAAGTGCTTCAGAGCAATTACTTCTTATTGATTTAATCTGTTACTGAAATGGGCCAAAACAGATCCCCTTCCCCACCCCCTTAAAAAAAGAGACTTAGTCACAACACAGTGCTAATTTAACTTCTGATAGTAAGGAATTTGGGGGTATTGAGTAAGAACTTGCAATTGCACACATTTTTAATTTAATGATACCTATCATTCTATAGATTAGAAACCTGATTCTGAATAATATCATAAGTAAGAAGGAGTTTGGGATTTTGGCAAAGACAAAATACTTTCAAGTGTTGAAATTGCATATGATGAATTCCAACAACATCACTGAGCTGGTAAACTATTTGGCAAATGAGTTAAGGTAAGTTAATTAACAAACAAACAAAAACAACTTACTGTAGAGTTTCCTTAAAATTTATCTTTATTTTGGAGGAAAATATCAAATAATTGTACAACTATTTGGTTGTAATGAAAGGCTCTGAATATTAAGCTATAGCATTACCACATATGCCCAGAGGTTAGTTGTCTTGTAACTGAGTCCCTTAGAACATGAACTTGGAATCAGACAATCAAGAAACTTTCCAAACCCCCAAAATAGGTATCTCACAGTCCTGCTCTAAAACTTGAGTTACAACTTTGTTCCTTAGACATTTGCTCAGAGAGTTACTGGCTTTTATGTGACCTAATTTTTGCTAAGCTTGATTGTCTAATTTTCTGGCAGCCACAAGTTTGGAAATAAGCTTTCTGGGTTAGGATTGGGAATGGATTTGGAACGTGAAAAGGAGAAGAGAGAAATGGCTGACACTAAGGAAGGGAAACCCTGTCAGGATAGAAGTCTTTCCTGGTCCCTACATTTAGTCTAACCGTGCTGGCCACTTGGGACATATCTCTCTCTCATTACCAAGCCTTGGATTTCTTTCTGTTTGCTTACCACTTGTGATCCAACCATAGCTACACACACATATATAGGCTACACGTAATTCAAGTATGCAATATGATAAATTTGGACATACATGTACCCGTGAAGCCATCGCCACAGTCAAGATAGCAAACATATTTATCATGCCCGAGGATTTCCTCCTGATGCTCTTTTTCTTTCTGATTCCATAGTTTAGATGAAGCTTCAGTGTTTATAACTGAATATTCAAAACATTGTGGGAAGCCTGTACCACCAGACGCCGCTCCCTGTGAAATTCTGAAGGTAAAGCTGGCCCACCGTTACTCAGGTTCTGACGTGACACCATTTATATCACTAGGGTCTTGACATTGACCCAACTTGTTCTTGTGTCCTGGAGATAAATGTATTTTTATGCGTTAACTATGTATATTTTTATATTTTGCATTTTGTTTGAGGGGCTCTTAGCCCAGAAATCAAGAGGCCCTGGTTCTACTCTCTGCAGCAGTGTGGTCTCCAGCCATTCACTGACCCTCTGCAGGCTTTAGTTTTCACATCTGGACTGCGTGGTCTCCTGGGTGCTTTCCAGCATTATGATTCCTCATAAAGTCTTATCTTTCATATCAAAGCAAGTGAAAAACTAAATTTCAAAACGTACTGATTAATTTTATCCTTGGGCATTAATTTCTTTTAATTCTCCTTTTTAATTACCAAAGACATATGTATTTTCACCATAGAAAAAACAAATTTGCAAGAGCCAAAAAACAAAAACAAAAAACCTTAATCTCTTGAAATCTCACTACACAGAAATAGGTTTACTGTTTGACATTTTAGTATACGTCCTTCCAAATGTTTTCATACATAAAATATGCATGTAAATCACTCTTACTCCTATTCTGAACTTAAATATAAGATAAGGGGCTCCTGGGGGCACCTGGGTGGCTCAGTTGGTTAAGCGGCTGACTTTGGCTCCGGTCACGATCTCACGGTCCGTGAGTTCGAGCCCCGCGTCGGCCTCTGTGCTGACAGCTCGGAGCCTGGAGCCTGCTTCCAACTCTGTGTCTCCCTCTCTCTGACCCTCCCCCCTTCATGCTCTGTCTGTGTCTCAAAAATAAATAAACGTTAAAAAAAAATTAAAAAAAAAAAAAAGGGGGGGGCTCCTGGGTGGCTCAGTTGGTTGAGCGTCTGACTTTGGCTCAGGTCATGATCTCACGGTTCGTGGGTTAGAGCCCTGCATTGGGCTCTGTGCTGACAGTTCAGAGCCTGGAGCCTGGTTTGGATTCTGTGTCTCCCTCCCTCTCTCTCTCTGCCCCTCCCCTGCTCAAGCTCTGTCTCTCTTTCAAAAATAAATAAACATTAAAAAAAAAAATTATATATATATATGATACAATTTTTTACTTTTTTTTTTTTTTTTTTTTTGAGAAAGAGAGAGAGAGAGCACGAGTGGGGGCAAAGGAGAGAGAGAGAATCCCAAGCAGACTCCATGCTCAGCACAGAGCCAGATGTGGGGCTTGATCCTACAACCCTGGAATCATGACCTGAGTTGGACGCTCAACTGACTGAGCCACCCAGGTGCCCCTAAAGATTTTATTTTTGAGTAATCTCTATACCCAGAGTAGGGCTTGAACTCACAACCCTGAGACCAAGAGTCACATGCTCCACCGACTGAACCAGTCAGGTGCCCCTAAAATTTTTTAATCATGTTTAAGTAATTGTGGGTTTTTTCCCCTCCTTTGGTCCAGATCAGGCATGTTAAAATAAGCTTGCGTTTTGTTAACTTTCATTAATAACTTCCTTTGGTCACTTCCAATCTGTTGTGATCAATGGCATAGGTTACCTTTTTAAATTTTTTTTCTTTTTTTCAAAAAAAGTTTTTTAATGTTTATTTATTTGGGGGGGGGGAGGGGCAGAGAGAGAGAGGGAGACACAGAATCTGAAGCAGGCTCCAGACTGTGAGCTCTCAGCCCAGAGTCCAACGCAGGGCTTAAACTCACAAACTCTAAGATCGTGACCCGAGCCAAAGTCAGACACTTAACCAACTCAGTCACCCGGGTGCCCCTAGGTTACCTTTTTTTAAAAGGGAGATTATTGATTTAGGAGGCAAATCTTTGGCCCTTAAAATATATCTGTTTTTTTCTAGTCCAGCTGTCTAAATGCCAAATAACTTTATGTGTAAAGTTGTAACCTTTACACATGTAGCAATACAGTTAAGTCATAAATTTTATAGTTTATCTGTTTTCTATTGAAAAAACTAAATGGCATTAATAAAAATGCTTCTGTGTTTCTTCCCATTTAGATGTTTCTTGGTGGATCATAGCCGATCAACCTCTTTTAAGAAGAACAAAGGGGACTTTGGAGTCTACTATTAACTAATCATATTTATTAGGGTTTTAAAGTTGTGCCGTCAATGTGTTATAACTTGTCAAATGTTGACCAACAAGTAACAACTGAGGCGCTTCGTAGTAGTTTGATTATTATCTTGTAAAGAACTCATGTCTTGAGTTAATCAATCTTCTTTACCAGTTACTTGTATAACTTATAGAGACCATCAGTCTTTTGCACCCCAACAGGAAGGAAACTAAATGCACAAGTATCTTGCTTCGGCCACAAGAAAAACAACTACTTATATCCTATTTCTTCATATACAAATAAGAATAAGAATAACGTCACTCTTTCTAATGAATTCTAGTTAAACATGTATCTAAGTTTTGCCGCAGAGCGTATCAGGCCAGCCAGAAAAACAGAAACCACTCTAGGTATTTCAGGCAGAGAAGAATTGGACGGCAGGAATTGGTTACAAAGGTGTTAGAAGGACTGAAAAGCAAAGGGGAGAGCGAGGGGCCGCTGGAGAGGCGGAAGGGGAAAGGGCTGTTAGCTGACGCAAGGAGGTGGCTGCTGCGCCTCCCCCTTCACCGCCGCGGCCTCCAGTGGCCCTCGGTCACCCTCAGCGATTGCTGCCGCTTCCAGGCCACCACCGAAAGAGAAAAGAAACAACTCCTTTTTCTCTGTCCAACCTTCTAATTCTCCTGCCAGTGCCAAGAATGACAGAACCAAACCGGAACCCATCTGGCCAGGTGTCTGGGAAAGCCGGCTGTAGGCTGTCAGCGCCAGCAGTACAGAGGCTGGCCTGCGGGGGCAGTGTGGAGCTGAAAGCCAGCAGCCGCCACCCAGCGTGCAGAAAAGGTCATCACAACTCTTATTCTGCCTCTGTAGTCTTTTTCTATTTGTGTGTATAAATTGAATTTCATAAATCAGAATGAATTTGCCTTTGTTTTTCCAGTTGAGAACAACCTTATTTCTGGGGTGCCTGGGTTGCTCAGTCGGTTAAGCATCCGACTTCGGCTCAGGTATGAAATCATGACCAGTCGTGGGTTAGAGCCCCATGTTGGGCTCTGTGCTGACACCTCTGAGCCTGTTTTGGATTCTGTGTCTCCCTCTCTCTCTGTCCCTCCCCTGCTTGCTCACTCTCTCTGTCTCTCTTTCTCCCTCAAAAATAAACATTAAAAATTTTTTAATGAGAAGAAAAAAATATTTTCTATACATTATAGTCAAGGTATCATAGATTAAAAACTTGGGTTTTGGGGTAAAAATAGTCTAGATTCGAATCCTGGCTCTGTCACATACTAGCTGTGTGATACTGGACAAGTTATAGAACTTCTCAAAGCCTTAGTTCCCTTATTTGTAAAACCTCCTAAGGAGGTGTAAATGGGCCTCTACTTACTCTATTCTGGACATTTAGACCACACCAGTATTTTTCATAAAACTTCTTCCATATTTGGAGTTATTTCCTTAAGATACATTCCCAGGAACAGATTGACCACATCAAAGGGAATGAAGAAGATCTTAAAAGCTCTAAATGTACGTTGCCAACCTGCATGCGTTTCAAAAGTTTTTGTTTTCTTTCCAAGATTTTATTTAAATTCAAGTTAGTTAACATATGGTGTAGTATTGGTTTCAGGAGTAGAATTTAGTGATTCATCACTTACATATAACACCCAGTGCTCATCCCAACAAGTGCCCTCCTTAATACCCTTCACCTGTTTAGCCCACCCCCCACCCACTTCCCCTCAAAAGATCTTTTTCACAAACTCCTGTCCCTACCAGCAAGAGGCATGTCTGCTTTACTTCTTCCCAACATGGACCAATCTGACTTTTGAAAACTTTTGGCTAATATGATAGGTGAAAATAATATCTCACTACTTACATCTGTATTTCTTTGATATTTATGTAATTGAACCTTAAGAAAACCCTCTGGCTGCACCTGAAAGCAGAACCTGGAATGGTCTTGAGCATAAATGTGCAAGGAATGGAAGGGGTCAAGTGGTGGCACCAGAAGGTAACAAATGGAAAACGACTCTGCATGCCTGATGGATTCACACTGAGCTGAAGGATTCTTTCCCAATCTCAACACTGGTTTCATTGTTCAGAATAAAGTCCTGACATGCAAAGGGTTAGCTTTAGGTATACCAGAGAAGTAATTTTTTAAAACATAAAATATATTTAAATTTACTTTTTTAAGTTTATTTGAAGTTCAAATATACAGTTAGCCAGGATCCTTGTTACATTTATTATATTTTCATTAGCCTTGATTGTTTTCCACTCTTGTCTCCATACAGCCATTCTCCATACTGTTTATCCCTAAAACAAGCCAGATCTTGACTTTGCCCTGCCTCACACTTTTCACTGGCTTCACTTTAGCACAAGACCCAAGTTGCCAACTGAGGCACACAGGCATCTTTGTTCAAATTAGAAACAGAATCCATTCTGGGAGAACGGATTATAAAGGGCTCTCCTTTTGGTAGATCGACTGCAAAAAGGCAGTCCCTGGAGACAGTCACATTTGTAGGAAGCACTGGATTGAAAGCTGGATTTCAGTTACAACTCCATGCTACCTGCCCATCCATATGGTGGCTTACAAGGTCCTACATGATTTAGTCCCCATCCACCTTTCCAGCCTCCGTACCTACCACTTTCTCTTTTCACCAGCCTTCCCCGACAGCCCAACTCAAGTTGCCTCCCCGCTGACCCCCACCTCAGTCACTAGCTATTGCAAGCGCCTTCTCAATACAATCCAAAGCTGTCATGGCGTGTTTATTGATTGTCTCACTACTCATGTTGTCCCCAAACCCTAGAACAGCATCTCATGTAATAGGCTCTTAAAAATTTATATATATATAGGGGGGCACCTGGGTGACTCAGTTGGTTAAGCATCCAACTCTTGATTTCAGCTCAGGTCATGATCTCATGGTTCATGAGTTTGAGCCCCACATTGGGCTCTGTGCTGACAGTGCAGAGCCTACTTGGGATTCTCTCCCCCTCTTTCTCTCTGTCCCTCCCCTGCTCGCACTCTGTCAAAATAAACAAAAAAATTTTTTAAATACGTGTGAAATAAATTAGCCTTAGCTACCCATTTTCAGGGTAAAATTCCTCCTTTGAATGTGTCATGATCATGTGAACACATGACAGCACCTCATTACAAAGGGGGAAGTTAGCAACAACTGAGTAAAGGCCCTACTGTATTTAATTCTCATGACTCATGCCCATTCTTTCACCATCTCCTGCCTTGAATGAGGTGGCTTAATTTTCATTACTTTGACAACTTGGAGTAGAGAATTTTATTAGTGGATTGCTTTCCTTCCACTGCCTTCTTGATAGAAAACCTGGACTGACAAAACAGAATATTCAGTCTTCCTTCTACTGTGTTTGCTGGGGCTCAGATTTGAAACCTGTTTGCAGTGTTTATGTTAATACATTGGATCCCTTGAAACGAGTCTAAATGTGAACTCAAAACAGCTAAGTCTTACCATAAACTCTACAAAAGATTAGAGAAGGATGATGTGGTGGTGGTGGTATTTTCTGGCACTCTACATATTTGAAAATAACCATAAAATAAGAGATGTGTTTCTAGACCAGCCGAAGCTGAATGTTTTCTAAATGGAAAAAAAATTTCAAGAGCAATTCATTTTGAATTCTTCCAACAGTCATTGGTCTCAAGAATGTGGCCTCTCAACTGACTTTCCCTTGGTAACTAGTATAGCTTTTTTTTTTAATTAATT